TTCGCAGAGTAGTAGCGAGCTACTTCACGAATAGGGTTCTGAAATATGACACGAAGAACGGTACGGAAGTGTACGAAATCTCTGGATGAGTGCCACAGGGATCAGTCTTAGGTCCTTTGCTATGGAACATCATGTATGATGGCCTTCTGAGAATAGCATTGCCCACGGGAGTCAAACTTGTTGCATATGCGGATAACGTAGCTGTCGTGATCGTCGCAAAGCACCTCGAAGAGATAGAACTGGCATTTGATATTACATTCAGACGAGTCAATTTGTGGATGGACATGATGAACTTGCAACTGGCCAAGCATAAAACCGAGGCAGTGCTCATCACCAGCAGAAAAACGGTAGAAACCATTAAGTTGAGAGTCGGAGAACAAGAAATCATATCACAACCATTTATCCGTTATCTGGGAGTGATGCTGGATGCACGACTCAACTTCAAGCAGCAGGTGGAACATGTCAGTGCCAAAGCGTCAGTAGTGAGGCCTAGTCTCGCACGGCTGATGCCTAACATCGGAGGCCCAATGCAGAGCAGGAGGCTATTATTGTCATCAGTAGTCACATCAGTGCTTACTTACGGAATATCCATTTGGGCTGATGCACTGGAAACCCAAGAATCATGGAGAAAAGCTGGACCAATATACCGAATAAGTGCCCTACGAGTAGCTAGTGCCTTCCGCACTATATCAGAAGAAGCAGTGTGCGTCATTGCTGGAACCCTACCTCTTAGAATTCTAGCAGAGGAAAGACGGGCTCTTTACCAACGAAAAAGGTCAACTGTACTGAGTCCTGAAGAACTTAGAATTGAAGAACGGCAGAAGAGCATAGGCCGATGGCAACTACAATGGGATGCTGCAGAGAAGGGTAGGTGGACGCACCGTCTCATACCTCGGATCGACATTTGGCTTAACCGGAATCACGGTGGGGTCAATTACTATCTTACGCAGATGTTGTCGGGACATGGGTGTTTTCGAGATGCGGAGCACGTCTTCTTTGTATGTCCTCGTTTCGATCCACAGCGTGAAGAGTTGGAGAGGATCCTGAACCAGAGAATGCAACCAGATTCACTAGTGGAAGCAATGTTGTCGTCAGAAGCTGCCTGGAACGCTACCAACACGTTTGCAATAGAAGTCCTCAAAGACTTGCGTTCCACCGAAAGAAGAAGAGCAAATAGCAGAAGATAGAAGGAAGGTAGTTAACACCTTAGCCACCAAAAGGAAGAGCAGTAGCTAGATCCTCCCTTCACGAAGTAATGCCTGACGGCGGTTTCCATGAGGGATTAGAGGAAAGAAGGAAAAGGGGTTTAGGGTTTAGTGGGTAGGGGCGTTAGCGTCGAGTATTAGTATGACGCTGCGTCGAGTCGCCACATATCCAGGCCAACAACTATGCCTAGAATCCGTAAAAAGAATTCCCCCCCCCCCCCAAAAAAAAAACACACACACACACACATACAGCCGCACGGACACCATCGCGGGAATAGTCAGGAAAGCTTCCTAGGACCTTAAAACGTCGAGATCTGATGAAAACTCGATTTTCGAAAAACGGGGTGAAAACAATAACTTCCCGATTTTTGAAAATTTTCAATTTTCTTAGCGGGAAGTTAAAAATTGAAGTATAATAATTCAAATGCGTAACTTTAATATTAATTTCGCACGTTAAATTTTACACGACAGATCAAAAATATAAAGACTGATGAATCAAATTGTGGTAAGAACTTTACTTTTCATTCCTGTTCCTTCAATAAATATTGACGGAAGTAATTATCACATTTTGTAAACAGGCAACGTTAAATAATAGCCATTGATACACAAGATAACAAAATCTTTAGGGTATTTAATGCCGAAAGTAATTGTTGAAAATCATCAACAAACGCTATCAAAATTTACAAAGCGAAATAGTAAATTCTGCACACTAAACTGAATCAACTTTATAATTATAATTTTTCTTAAACTTACAGAAACTAAATTTTAAATGCAATTTTTACTATTTTACTTTTTATAATTTCATACGTGATCGTGAATGTAATTTGCCGCTTTGTCATTTGTCGACAAGCATTACAAACCTAGCTTATAATTTCACTGAAATGTGAGAAATTCTATTTGTCTTACAGCGTTGAGGTTTGACGTCAATCTTCCGTACGTAGGGTCTTGGGTTCGAATCCTGACGAGGACAAATTTGACTTCTTAAACTAATCTATTAGGCGAGCGTATATTGAGCCTGAGTTAAGTTTATCGAGTGATCAATTGGTGTTTATTCTCAATCACTTTCTTTCTAACACTAAAAGCTTTAAGAAAAACTATGTACACAAAAGACAAAATCGAAATCAAACTAAAGTAAACAACTGTCAATAAGAAACATCATAATCTTGAGATGATCTTTCTAAGTATGATAAGAAGTAATTAAACACGAAGGCTTTAATTAAATAAGTAATTTAGATTTAGCGCAATTGGCGAAACTGATTGGGGAGTTTTACTCCAAGATACTTTACATTTAATGGGAATATTAGATTTACCTGAAGGATTTCAGTGATTGACACTCTCCCTGTGCAGTCTGGTTTATTTTTTATATCTTGAGTATTGAAACGCGGAACTAGGGCAATGTTATGGAATCGAGTAAATATGAAAGTAAAGGCTTTAGGTTTCAGTTATTTTGTTGATATAGAAAATAATTTATTATATATGCTTAGATTTTTGTCAATTTTCAATGTTTCAAATAATAATTTGAACTTTGTGGGTGCATTTCAACTTTTTTCACATTTACATAGCTATTCTGCCCTGTTATGACAAAACGACGTATCTCGAGATACGCTGTTTTGTCGTAACAAAGCTAAAAAGATTTTTTTAGTGATACTTAATGATAGGGAATCATAAAAATTTTACTAATTTAATTAATTATGCCAATAATATTGATTAAATGTGCGTATAAAAGAAATGAAAAAAAAACGTATCTTTTTTGCATTGGAAATCAATATAACACTTAATTCTTCGAGTTACAGAGTTTTGTCATAACAATTTCATTTATTTATCAAAATGAGCATTAGTTTCTTAAGATAAAAAAACGTATCTCGAGTTACAACGTTTTGTCATGACAGAAATGAATTTTTCTGTAAAGTTGTACTCAAATTCAGTGAAAAACTTTATGCGCTATTTTCTCGAAACTATAATTTTTGAGATACGTCGTTTTGTCATGACAGGGCAGTATTATTACTTTTTGAAAATGTATTTTTTTGCTTTGTAATTGTTTAATTGTAGTATTCAAATAATAAATATCACAAATCAATGATTGAAATCACGATTTTACTGTTTAAAATGGTATTTATTACCCATCGATTATTATTTACTATAGTTCATTTTTTTCCATGCATAGCCGAAATATCAAAGTATAATAATTTAAAGTCGAAGTCTAAATATTAATTTCGCATGTTGAATTTTACATGATAGATAAAAAATATAAATACTGATAAATTAAATTTGTGGTAAGAACTTTACTTTTTATTTTTGTTTCTTCAATAGATATTAACGGGAGTAATTGTAACATTTTGTAAACAGGCAACGTTGAATAGTCATTGATACACAAAGTAACAAGATCTTTAGAGTATTTAATGCCAAAGCAATTGTTGAATATCATCAACGAGCGCCATGAAAATTTACAAAGGGAAATAGTAAATTCAGCACACTAAACTGAATCAACTTTATAGTTATAAATTTTGTTGAATTCATAGGAAGTATATTTCAAACTTAGCAATCTTTACTATTTTACTTAGTACAATTTTACACGTGATCGTGACTTTCTATCCTTTTTTCCTTGAAAATACAATTTGCTGCTTTGTCATTTGTCCAAAATCATGACAATAAGTTTAGCTTATAATTTCACTGAGGTGTGAGAAGTCTTTCGTGTTATGTGTTAGGATAGGTCATCAGTAAATATGTCACAAATTAGCTCTAAATATTGTTTTCTTCAATTAAAATTTCATCCAGCTTCAAATTTCTGTTTAACTTGGAAACTGTTGTTCCTGAAGAGTTACTTAAAATTTGTATATTGATAATTCAAATCTCATAATCTTCAAAATTGTATGATAAATATTTGAGAAAATTTTTCTGTACAAGATAGATTTTTGAACAAAATTAGTTCTAAATAGTTTTAAATTTATTTTTGAATTTTGTTTTTCATCAATGAATCAAGTTATACATAATTAGTATTAATATTTTTTATTAGAATTCAATTTCGGTTGCCGAATGGCCTTTTTGATATAATTTTAATATAAAAATTTCCTTTTAAAAGAAAATACACCTGTTATGAATTTTTCAATTTTCTCTTGATTATATGTGGATTAGTATTTACATCAGCAAAACTATAATAATTTATTGAAATCTTTTTATTCAAAAATTTAATCTAAATCATGATATTTTTATTATCTATTTACAGACTAAAACTAGATGCATTAGAAAATTATGTACAATAAGAAAAAAAAATTAATTGAAATAGTTCGCTCACGACATTTGTGCTATTGTTTTATTTTTCATTCTCTAGTGCTGCCTTTCTCACGGACTATCTCTTATTCGCTTTTATTAATAATTATTTTCGTTTGCCTAGCTAGTTAATTGATAATTTATTAAAATTATACTAAAATTAGGAGACTTTTAATAATTTTTTCATTCATAGAAATAAAAAAATATTAAAAAATTGCATTTATTGCTTTTTAAATTTCCTAAATGTGGGCTTTTTTATTTTAATAAATTTTTCCATATAAAAAATTCTAAATATTATCAAACGTTTGCTAACTTAATTTTTATTTTATAAAAAACTACACAATCAGCAGCTTCGAAATTTTTTAGGCACTTTCATGCCAAAAGAATAAAAATTTGTGATTTTTCATTCTTTTACCGCATCACTTCTGCAAATATGTCATTTTTAATTACAATTATTTCAAGTTTGTTACGGTCAATTGATTTAAAATTTTGTACCTTATTTCGTTTATATGAGTGAACTACCTTAAATCAAGTTTTTTTACGATCAAATACCCAAGAAAGTAAATCTAACATCCCAGTAGACATTGAATTATCATCAACTGTCACATTATTTCTAGATTTCTTATTTTGAGAAGGAGAAGGTGGCTTTTCAATAACTTTTTTAGCAATACTGTCCAAGTTAATTAACAACATTTGTTTCTGAAGAATAGGCACAAGTAAATTGTATGTATTGATTTTTTTGTTTATATTTTTTACAGTTTCTTCAGAGTCTTTTAATGCGTTTTGCCATAATTTATCCTCATCAAATGACAGAGGCGCAGGGCCCAATTCATTTCGTACTGCCGTCAAGTAATTTTCTAGGTCTTTTGTTTCTTCTCGTATTTCTTTCGACAGCTGTATCCATTCTGGGGTAAATCCATTGTCGATTAATATCTGAAAAAAAAAAAAAAAAAATTTTATCTGTATAATTAAGAGAATATACATGATAAAATGAGTTTTATAAATTAAATTCAATATCATTGGAAAGTTCTTGGCCTAAATTTGTACCTTTTCAATGTTTCATATGCTTTTTAGCAATAGTTAATTTATTATAATAAGTTTTCGAAGTAGTTATAAATGGATTTAAATTTTGCTATAAACGTAATTTATTTATTTATTTATTTTTTTTTTGTACATGTAATGTAATTATAGGTCAAAAATTAATTTATATAATTAAGAGACTAGGGTAAAAGACCCCATTACTGACACTTTCTTTGATTTTGGTACTTATTCAATTAATGAAATCATTAATTTCAATAATGAATATATTATTTTTAATCTTTAAGACCTTTGGATCAAAAAAATTTTTAATTTTTTTTCCTAGTAGAACATTTTTTCATTGAAAAAAAAAGTGCCACTAATAGGAGTTAAAGGTGCCACTAATGGGGTATTTTACCTTAAGAAAAATTTTGTAACGGGTAAATCTTCATTGTAAATTGGGTTTGATAATTTTTTAGTGATAGTCATTTATGATTTAAATAATTGAGAGAGTAAGGAAAATGTTGTGATGAGCATACTATTATTTTGAAAGGAATTTTTATAGTTAAATTTGGTATTATCAGAAAGATTTTGACAAGAATTTGTGCTTTTTCACGGTTTTATACATTTTTCAGTGATAATCGATTTTTAGTAGATTTCATAGAAATCTAACTATTGCATTATAACTATATAAAAAATTATCTTATATTCCGACGTAACTTGAAGAGCTGAGTCAGAAAATACATATGATTCAAAAGTTTATATTTGTATGTATTTATATATTTATATATGGATATATATGGGATAGAACGCAGCTTGTTACGACGATGATGTCTACAATTCATAACGGATCTTTACGAAATTCAGTATATTTATTGACGAAGGTCAAGTTCAAGTATGAGCTTAATCGGTCATGTAGTTTTCAAATTACAGAATTTTGAAATTTTCAAAATCCTAAAAATACACTTTCTTACAGTTTATTCATCAAATAACTTTTGAATCCAACATTGTATTGAATTTCTGTAAAATGTACCTGAAAGCTCTTTAAATAAGCTTTAGTTTTCATATTTTTTTTTGTTTATGTCAAATAAAAATTACATTCAAATCTGTTATTTTTTTTATGAAATTTGCTGTTGCATTGGTTTTTTTTTTCTCGAAATTACTGAAATTTTAAAACTTTTAATTGATTAAACGCCTTTAAACTTATTATTTTTATTATAGTATGAAATCTACTTCCATTTCGGCTACCGAATGGCCTTTTTTATATTGTTTTTGGAGGAGTTTTTAATAGTTTGTTGGTTCTATAAATTTGTTCCGTCACATTTGTCCATTAAATTATTTGTAATTGATCCTGCAATAGCATTATTATTTTCAGAATTTATTTAAAAAGTACCCAAACTATGTATAGTGTGATTAGAAATATCAAAAAATCATTAAGCCGCACAGTGACTGCAGGTTGCTAGTTTTTTTTTTAAACATTTAGTATAAATAAACCTTAATATGCCGACAAACAAAATTTTTAGGCAAATATCTACCTCGTTCAATTTATGGGTGACAAAATCAACATAAGGATTTTGTGCGCTAGCTCGATCTTTCAGGGGTTTTCCCATACCAGGCAGGTCTTTAAACTCTCCTTTGTTCATAGACTCCTGGATCAAATCTTCAACCAATCTATCAATACCAAAACGCGTTTTGATATCTCCAGCACGACGCTTGTCCATTCCTACCAGAGTATTTCTCTCAGCAGCTTGTATTTTCTGTAATCTGTGCTCCATTACATTGTCGACGGCTTTTTGCGCTCTTTCTCTGGTATGTCTTCTTTGTCTTTCCGACGGGGTGCCAATGCCAGTGTCGTAGGCCAAGAAATGCCGATGTTGGGGTGCTGTATGCTAAAATTATCACCAAAAGTATTAGTAAAAAATAAATTATTTATTACTAATAATTACTTCATGAAGCTATTACTTTGATATCAAATTCTTCGACTTCCGGCAATGAGTCATTGTCTTCTTTGCAAGAACTTCTTTCGCGTTGAATCAATCTGTACGCACTTTCAATCTGCAACAAATTCAATAAATTAAAAGGAATTTCTTCTTGATTTATCAATAATTTATTTATTAATAAAAATGACTTTACTTCAGAAAATTTCATCGAATCAGCCCTTGATGACCCGCTGTCTGGATGGTATTGTTTGGCTAAATGAACAAACGCTAACCTTAAATCTTCATCTTCACAATCTTCCTTTAATCCAAGTGTTTCATATGATTTCTAATTAATTAAATCAGATTTTTTATTAATTTTATCTCAAATTTAAAAAAAACAGCTGACAAAGAAGAAATATTAAAGTGTATTTAAATTTAAAATTTTCTATAAATTTTATTGTTTCTTAACCTTACTGGCGTTATTTAAAGAATATTGCTAATTCTTTTTAATTTTCTCATGTTTAATATTTAAAAAAATTTTTTTTATTACAATTATTTAAAAATGAACTACCTTTAATGTCCGATGTTTGTAGCGACATTGTTTTATGTTCACCTTTAATCTTTGCAAGCAAAAACTTAACTTATTTATAGAAGACGAACAATTAGGTGAATAAACTAACATTATTAATTATTTATTACTCAAACAATTGATAATTTACTTATTTTAATATTTAAACATTTTTTACTGCGTATAAATTTGTATTATGTCACTTTTAGAACATATGATTATCATCATATATATGTTTATAAAGTTTTACGTACGGTTTATTACTGAAGAAATCAATACTCACTACGGATGAATATGTTGGGATTCATATTATCAGCAATAAGTAACTTTGGTGACTTTAAACGGAGAGTTCATGACGGGATCTGCAAGAATTTTTTTAACAGTCTCAGTTTATGATTTTTACTCTTTAGATTTTTTACGTAAGAATTTGACCAAGATCTTAGCAAAATTGTTCAAGTGAAGAAATAAAGAAAAAAAGATAAAAATACAATTTTATACTTTTAAATACGAATTCAAGTTATTTCTTCTAGATATTTATTAAAATCATTCGGAATAATTTTTTATTTATTTATTTATTGGATTTAAATGCCAAGGCTTAGCCGGATGGCAAATTGTACAATGTCTAGTATAATTAATGAGTAATAACTACACGGAAAAAAGAAAACTCGAAAAATTAAAGTATAAAATGTAAAATCGGTCCCGTCGTAATCAAAACTAGAAAAATTACAGTTTGAAATAACATTTTTCTGAATTCAATTTTTTAATTTAATATTCAAAGCTTTCAATGTAAATATTACATTCTACAATGTAATTCTTACAAAATCTTTAATAATTACATTAGAAACTGTAATTTTTCCAGTTTTCATCACGAAGCGCTACGTTGCATTATATACTGTAATTTTTCAAGTTTTCTTTTTTCCGTGTAAAAAGTGTAATTGAGTAATAAAACAGAAACAATAATAATAAGATGCGATACAATAACTTATATGAGTAACATATCAGTAACTTAAAACAAGCCAAACTGGAAAATTTAATAGAATTACAAACTGCTTGATACTTCTAGATTGACAAAAAAATTCAAACGCTTCATTTTTGAAGCTCTTGAGGGAATAGGAGTTAATTAATAATATCACTTGGTAATTCTTGCCATAAACGAATACTGGATACAATAAAAGAGTGCTCAAAGGTGGCGGTGAAGAAATTAGGCATTTTAAAAGAGATATAATTCTTAGCTGAAAGCCAATCAGACCGTCTAATATCAGAATCTTCATTTATGAACATGAAGCGGAGGAATTTTGAAGGAATAATCATTAGAATTGTAGAATTTAATAAAAAAAAAAAACTTATTCTCGCTTATATCTCCTGTACTTGACTACGGATCTGTCATATACGTTCACCTTCTAGATTTTAGATTTAGATTTTGTTTATTTAATGCCAGGGCACAGGCCAAATGGCAATTTCAATTACATAGTAAATACAATTTTTACAAGAGAGCAATTTCTGTGAGTACATAATATAATATAATATTGCACAATAATTAATTTAATTTATTTATATGTAAACAAGGTAAAAAAGAAAATCATATTAAACTTAAAATTTAATATATAAAAACAATAATTTTAAAATATAGAATTTTAATGTCATCAGATCAGATGATAACTCAGCATAATAATTTAGCGAATTGCAATTACTTAATCCTTATTTAAATCTTTAATTTTCAATGAATTAATTTAAATTTCTTTTAATTATCAAGATTTAATAAGTAATTAAATACTTATTTTTTGAAGACTTGTAAGCTACTCGAATTTACAATTTCGCGTGGGAGTTCTTCCCAAAGCTTCTACTGCTTTCTCAATCAATAAAATCGATAGGGTCAGACACAAGTTCTCCAAAATCCTGGCATATAAGTTTGCCAAAAAATACGGACACTTAGTCACACCAGACGAAGTTATAAAACGCTACAAGCTTGATACCTTTGAAAAGCGAAGACAGATCACTGACTGTACTATCTTCTTCAAACTATTTACAGGATTAATTGAAGCTCCTGACTTAGTAGACAGCTTTGAGCTCATCGAAAAGACTCTCAACCTTAGGCAAAATCGACTACTGAAAACAACGAAGTCCAATAAAAATTACGTCATCAATAGTCCAAGAAACAGAATATCAACTATTGTTAACAGATATCACACTGATATAAATTTTTTCAAAGGTTCCTATAAATCATTCCTAGCAAAATTAAAAGATACCTTGTAAATACGTTGGCTAACTTCAATTGTACCATATATTCTTCACTAAGAAAGGGAAAAATTTTTGTTTTGATAGAAAAGTATAAATGGAAATTAAGTTAGCCGACATCTAAAAATTTATAGAATTTTTTTTATTGAAAAAATTATTACAAAAAAAAAAATTATCATTCGTAAAAAACTTGAAAAACTATAAATACAATTAATTATTATAACCGAATTTTTATATAAATTAAAGTTCTATCGCCGTGCGGTCAAGTGACTAGTAAAATTTTTTAATTCAAGTCAAACGGATGGACATTCCATCTTCCGTATTGGTCGAGAGACATATTCTCTCTTTGCATACTTCGATGGGGGTAGCTTAACTGGTAGAGCTCCTGACATGTTATCAGGGAGATCCAGGTTCGATTCCTGGCTTGGTAACCAACCCCATTTATTTTTTCAAAGTTTGTCTTTGCTCTCATTTGATTTCTTTAATTTTCTTTCATTAACTAAAGGGAGATCCAGGTTCGATTCCTGGTTGGTAACCAACCCCATTTATTTTTTTCAAAGTTTGTCTTTGCTCTCATTTGATTTCTTTAATTTTCTTTCATTAACTAAGAACATCTTTAACTCGAACAGATACCACAAAAGCTCTCAGCTTCACTAGTATTCAGATTCGGTGGATCCCCATCGAAGTTTGCAAAGAGAGAATATGTCTCTCGACCAACACGGAAGATGGAATGTCCATCCGTTTGACTTGAATTAAAACATTTTACTAGTCACTTGACCGCACGGCGATAGAACTTTAATTTATATAAATACAATTTTTTAAAAATATTTTTTAGTTCTAATTTAATAAATGAAAAAAAAATTAAAAACGTCAGCTAACTTCAGTTTTATAAATATAATCAAGTATTCACAACATTATATTAAAATAATTTATTTTATCGTGAATGATATACAATATACTCATCAACATCGTTGTTATATCATTTTATCATGGAAAACAAATTTATAATATATCATGTTTACAATAATATTTATACTAAAATTAATATATTTAATAATCAATAATTAATGGTTGAAAAGTTGAAAGCAAATCAATAATGTTGCAAAACAACAATATAATTATAACTTGGAAGTTAAATAATCTTATCAATATTCATCTTAATATAATTAATCAACACACATCTTTCATACATATTAATTATTTATTATTAATAGACAAATATTAAATATAATTAGCTTAATATTTATATAAGTGTATGTATTAATATATCTGTATCTGTTACAAGTTATTACTGTACAATTATATGCAATTGAAATAATAGATAAATTTGATTTTAGAATTTAAATCGACTTTGCTATTATATTTATTCAACAAACAGTCAATAGTTTATCACGTAAAAAATTATTTTTATTCAATTACCTATTTAATAAAGTTATAATGTTAAATAAAATTAAAGTATGGCAACATGTTAATGTTAATTAAATTTACATTAATTAATAATTACTCGTGCTTTTCTTTAATTTATTATTAGACAGCCTGAGTAGATATCGATTGTTTTTGTAAAATCTAATAATTTTTAAAATAAATTAATTATCGATGATTCTTTACAAAATAATATTTCGTTTTCGCATTAAAAATAGCACCTGCATTTTATAAAATTTACATTTATATTTCTTCAAGTTAATCAATAAATTGACTGCACACAATTAAAATTCAATTTTAAAATAACTGGCCTCTATTTCTTTAACTAAATAACTTATTTCATTTTCATAGCTTTTTAATACTAGTAATTATCTATTAATACACAACTTATGAAGATAAACGTATACTCAAACAAACTATATCAGTTCAGGATCTTTTTAACAAGATCTGGAGATGACCTAAAATATTAGATTAAAAAATGCTTCTTAGTATTTATAATCCGAACAAAAACAGTTTCACTGTAAAAAAATCGCGCCAAGTCCACGTTCATAAGACTATTAAGAAAAAAAAAATTAGTTTTTTTCTTTACAAACAGATATAAAATAAAAAAATTAAAAAATCCAAGTAACCGATATGACTGTTTATGATTTTCGGAAATTAAAAAAAATTTTGTTGTAAATTTAAAAATTAAAAAAACAATTTTGAAACGTATTTAGTGTGCGCGGTTGCAAAATATTTTACTTTTAACTAAATTCGTAAAATCTATTTACTAGAACTTTAAAAAAATTGAAAT